AAAACTAACACTAAGTATACTCAACATTATTTCTGAGAGTGTTGTTGATCCATTCAGCTATTACAACGAGTATGTAAGGGTTAGGCTTAGCTTAATGTAGACCTAAAACAACCACCCTTACAAAACTTATTCACCACTTTCTGATCTTAGCTGTACTCTGCCTAACGTGCAAGTACTAACGAAATGAATCAAGGTAAAAAGACTCGAGGTGGCAAGTGTGCCTGGAACAGAGTTATATTTTATACAAATGTGATATGAAATTATACATTTACCTGCTGCCTTGACCATGGTAGGCTCGGAGAGTGCGCTGAATGAAAGCACAACGAGAGAGCGAACCCAAAAGGTAGAGGAGAGTCACGAATCGAAAAAGGAAGAAGTGCCAAACGTGGGTGAGCGCGTTCAAACAAAAGTTCAAAGGCTCAAAGTACACTACAAGTATAACGAGAAGTAGTTTTGCTGCCCCTTGTATGTGATGGACCAAACTATTTTTATAGTGAAAATAGAAGAATAGCAGGAGGAAGAATAAAGCCTTTTGCTTGCCAAACAAAATATGAGTATAAAATCTAACAGGACAGACAGTCAAAAGCGAACTCTCAATCTTCGGTGTTTTCAACCATTCTCAAGATAATATCTAGCTAGCTGTGATAGTTACTGTTCTGATATGAAGAGGCTAATTATACCTCCACAAATATCATCTGTCAACCAAGTATTATTAATAGAATGTCTTGAAATGTATTTCTCAAACATGTAATGAACTACGGCGTTAATCAGATTGCCAGCCATTGTATACACTTGTAGAAGAAATTGATAGACTTTGCTCTATATCACTTGCGTCGGTGGCACAGCGGTTACGACGCTCGCCGACCATGCACTTGGTTCGAGATTCCATCACCGGCCGACGCACACTTGATGTTAATGGTCGTCCTGCAAAATTTGGGCTACCGATATCACATGCTGAAAATTCCATACTTGTACGGAAAATACGTTGCGGAATCAAGCTATAATAAAAAAATTTAAGCGAAGAGAAAAATCATGTTTCATTGGATTTCAATAGAGTGACTGATTTGAATGTCTCGAAAACTGACTGTTGTCTTCTCTCTCTTTTCATTGGTCATATTTTGAAGATATCCTATACAAGTGTACCACAACTTCACACCAAATTTCCACATGGTCTGACTGACGTCATTTAGAGAACGACTGAAAACCATAGAGTATAAGAAATGTTAACAATGCCCATCACAGTGATCCATCCATCCAAGGAAGTACCATTCGAAGTTGAGTTCACATAGTGAGCACATGTTTCATATATTTAACTTATACTATAGTCACTTGAAGTCATGAAATTTGAGGGCTTCATCAGTCGATCATATCTCTGGGATTAACAATCTATACTCTATGGGGATAATGAAGGTTCACGATTAGGTACCACCAAGCAAACAGATGATATGAGTGTGTAATAATGACTGAATAAAGTAAATATTTTCAAACTTCAATACTGATAGCCTAATACATGAATCTAGACCATTGAAACACATAGGATAATATGAGTGAATTAGGTTTTTGAAAGGTTTATTCCAATGTACTTGAATAACTAGCGTAGAAACATGTTGTCTTATACTGTCAGTCAATTCTGTTTAGTATCATTATACTTCTGTGGCACAAGGCAGAATATGGTAGGTAATTTTTGGAACGGATGTTCAACGAGTATTGAGTAGCCATTTTCCAATGTAATCGTAAATCAATAGACTTTACTTCTTCGATAACACACCACGGTAGGCCAGTCAATCCTGATAATATTGACTGCTTTCAACAGGACATGAACCTCTATCAGACAATCCGAAACTGTCATACCCATAACGTCAAATATGTTGAGTACTTCTAACATTTTTCAGATGACAAAATTACGTGATCTGTGTAATGTCGCTAGATAGACTGAAGAGCCTTAGAAAAGCAAAAGTAAGCTGAGTGACACAATAAATGTACGTAAAAGCGAGAGAGTGAGAGAACATCAATGAAGTTCACTACAACTTACTGGAAACTCTCACAAAACTAAATGTATCTTACTTAAGTGCTTTCAGATAGATAATCACTGTCCAGGATATCAATCATCATTGGATATCATTGGACCCATTGATATGAATGGCTCAGAATGAAGTATGTAGACATTGATATAAATGCTAATCAAGGTGGTGAAATATGGTCTGTCTTGTAGAGTGTGCTAGTTACTGTCTCCTTCCCTTACCCATATCACAGATTACCTGCATTCTCTTCCCCTTGACTACAGTTCAAAATTCAGTCTAATTTTGTGTAATTTACAATGATTGGTGGAGAATGACAGTCTCAATCGGACTGTTACTCATCTTTCAGTATAATCATGATTTGTCTCTACAACTCACATATACAAATGATGCAAGTGAATATAAGACAGTCTTCGAATATAATGTAGGCATGACTTCTCATCACTTCTTCATCTCGACAGATTGTAACAGGTCTTAGAGAAATTTCGGATAGATGAAGGTCTACTCATTGTAATGTAACGCTGCCTATCCACTATCACTGTCATAATAATAATAATAGTAATAATAATAATAATAATAATAATAATCGAATGTCTGAAGTACGACTGTTATCTGATATACAGTAAAAAGATGAATAGTTGGTTGATGATTACTCAAACTTCTGGGTGAAGACACCGACCCTAATCCATGTAATGCTGACAATGGCATATTATTTACAGGAAATAATTATTCCACTTTTGTAGTCATTTCTGATTATTTTCAGTATATAGATTTTGCTACAAAACGACGTCAGCTAGACGAGGATCATTGAAAACAGTTAGAACTGGACATGTGTGTTTCGTTCAGCTTTGAGACAATTTAGCGATGCCTACCCACAAACTACAGACCTTCATTAACAGTTGCCTTCGCTCAATACTCAAGATCAGATGGCCAGAAAAGATCAGCAACAGGGATCTTTGGGAACGAACCAACCAGGAACCGATTGTGAAACAAATGGGCAGGAAGAAATGGAGATGGATTGGCCATACTCTGAGGAAACCATCAAGTGACATCACTAGACAAGCCATTACTCGAGTGGAACCCGAAAGGGAAGCGGCGAGTTGGTTGTCAGTGCAAGAGTGACTTGGAGGAGGTCATGTGAAGAGGAGATGAAAGTGTGTGGGCAGACATGGAGCCAGGTGAAGACTCTAGCAGAGAACCGAACGGAATGGAGACGCACGGCTGAAGCCCTATGTTCCTGTAGGAATTAAAGGATACAATAATAATAATAATAATAATAATAATACCCACTAGCTACACAATGGATCTAAGTCAATACCTTTATTCAGGTTTTGATTCCATGCAGTTAACCATTCAACCAATGGGTTGAAATTTAACCAACCGTGAATTACAACTTTGTCAACTCTTGATACGACGCTTAAACTAACCAATGACATGAATGAGTGGGCACCCACTTCAACTTGAAGTGGTGGACACAGAAAATTCTTATTCGAACTTCACGATATCCAACCAATAGCCATTGGTGAGATGGAGACTGATATTCACATTTTCCGTCTTATGGGTATTTGAAACAATTTCAGTGCAAATTTCGTCAGGAAGGCCATGAATTGTTCAAGACCCTGTGCTTATGGAAGAGTCTCAAAATATGACGAAACTGCTATCCAGTTTCAAATGAAATGTCGTCAAGATTTGACAGAATAGTTCTAAAATATTTGGGCGCCGAGTGAGAAGTAGACATTCTTATGGAGACGTTAAGAAATGTTTTACAACTGTTTACCCACACACACATACACACTCTGTTTAGAGTGTTTAATAAAGGTAGACCAATATCTGTAAGTCCGAGGTCAAATTTTGATCACAGCTCATAAAATTTTGTTCATTATACTTGTTGAATGACTCATGATTGGACAAAGTTTTTAAAAACTAGTGATGTTTCTTTTATATATAAACCTGTGTTATGTTAATTTCGATTAATTTCCCTGAAGAAGTTCGGACCCGATTGCCGAACGAAACGTTGGAATTACTCATTTCAATCTCACTGAGATTTTACAAATATAATTTTTTACAAATGCTATCCAGTTTTCCTAACTTTTCATTCATTCTAGAATTCATGATGTTTCATGACGAAAATAATTCTTAGTCTCCATTATTAATTGCAGGACAAAAAATTAAATTAACTAAATAAAATTATTCTCAACAGAGTATCAACAGGATCCTCATTTTTGTTATGCCTAGAGAAGGTCAAAATGCCATAAAGACGTGAAGTACGAGGAAATAAAAGTTATTAATGAAATAAATATCTGATTGGTAGAAAATAACAGGATCATAAAAAAGCCTGTGTGTGTGTTGACCACGATCACTGATCTATTCAGTGTGAGAGTTGTCTGTCAGTTAAATCACCATTAGGAGAATGTCATTCGTCTATGTATGCCAAGCTAGAGTGTATTTGTGTGTGTGTGTTGTGTATCCCTTCATTTTAATGTGCTGGTGTGTGTTGGGGATCATGTTTCACAGCCTTTTTTCTACCTTACTACCACCCCAATAATCTCATATTCTCGTGAGCAGATCTCAAAAGTCAGTCTACTGAGAATAATAGACAAAGAGTGGAGTTGGTTATAAGGAGACGAAAACGAAATCATAGGCAATCATAGATTGGTGGAAGAGTGATGATCATGAATGGCCAACCAGCTGCTGCTTTATCATTCGTCAATCCGATCAGACTATTATGAGTCATTCATTCAATCGTTCATTCATACCATAGTATATTTTATCCCAAAGGGCAATCTGCCTAGTTGGAAAACAACTACTCATCTTCACTTCTACTACGATTGTCTTGTCAAAATACAACTTCATATTTTTGGATTATTAGATTGAAATTTTCACCCAAACACAACACATTGGATGATACTGACTTTCAAATGACTTCGGAATTATTGAGAATACGGAATCCGTTAAGTGAGAAACAGTGTGAAAGTAATGGAGGTGCTAGTAACAATTCTTCTGTGATAAAATATGACAAGAGTGACAGTGACCATCACTCGAACCTTGAGAATTCATCAGTCATCAAGGAAAGACAATGTTCTCCTACTTCCCCTCAACTGGAGAGACATCAATCCACCAGTCAGTGTTCAGTGTTTCCCTCGACAATCATGAATATTCCTTGTCCAGTGAAATCAACCTCACCACCCAAATCAGTCTTCCAAAGCTTAGGTCAGATTGACTTGAATAAAATATGGAATATTTGTGAAGGGGCAGTTGGAGGTTTTCGTTATCAAATTCGACGACCTGTAGAACCGTGGAAATTTTATGAGGTATGTTTATTCTTTGTATGCGTTGTATGTAAGTCGAATTCTGTGCAGTGTAATATTAGTAGTAGTAGTTTTAGTTTCTCTTTCCTACATTTTATAAGTCAATCAGATATACGCAATTGGGTTTTCTTGTCTTCATCTGAATCTAACTTGATTTCACCTGCATCGATATTTCACTTGTATATCCTATACATAATCAAAATTAAGTTGGTTTCATACAATAAATTTACCGTGAATTGATATCAGATTCTGTAGATTTATGACTACTCATAAATGCGAGACCTGCTTATCGTCAAATTATTTGATTTTATCGTACAGAGTTGTAAAGCATTGGCCTAATTAGTCTGCCTATTGTGGTTTCAGTAGCCACCAGTTGACATGATTAGTTGTCGCCGAATAATCATGTCTAGATTCTGAGCATGTTTGGTATGTATAACGCATATTTGATATTTGAATGAGTTTATGTGACTAGTTTATCTTGATGGCCATTATTTGTCACTAATTAACATGTACTTGTATTAGGTAATCCGAGTTGGATTGTTGTGAAATTGCTCTGATGTCTCACCATACTTTTCATTTTTTGATATGGTATTCATGTAATCGAATTTTATTTCTTCCATGGTTGAAAAGACTAGCGAGAGACACAGAGAACTGGTCAACTGTTTCTTTCTAAGTGTAATGCTCTTTAGCAATGCCCATTCACAACCCGTCACAGGACTTATTCTTTGACACATGATGATACAAAACGAATCCCCACAAAACCCGTCAACTCTCAATTCTGTCCTACTCAAATTCTTAATATCCTCCTTGCATTAATTCCTCTCATTTTCATCCTGGACCTATAACTGCTGTTTATAAACTGAGTTTCCTTGTTTTTGATATCTCATTTTTGTTTATTTTTATTTATTTATCAGTCCCTACAGGCTAAATCTTGTCATGTCATGTCACGTCATGTTATGTTGGATTGTCAGATGTTAATCATAGTCTATAGTGGATCATGTTTGTTACATATTTATTGAGTTCAAATATACTTTCCTATAGTGTTTCCACGTTTACTAACTAATGTCCTTGCAGACAGTTGACAGCAATAGTTGAGTATTAGTTCACTTATTATATACAGATGACATTGTGAAACATGATCATTTGGGCGAGGATGGTATTTGAGACTTGAAATATATGAGTAGTTATTGCACAACTTGTAAACCGAGTTCTTATGGTTCTAGCTCTTCTTTCTCATTTTTCGTATGGGTAGTCAAATCTTCCCAAATGTCCAGGAAGTCATGATAATCCCATGCTATCCAACAGAGAGAGATCTACTCAGCCTGAAATCCACACTTCTCTTCCGACGGGATTAAGTAGTATTAATAGTAGAACAGATCACCATTGACTTCTATCAGGAAGAGATTCTGAGTGTGAATTGCATGTTTATTAGTGACAGTATAATATTTGAAATAGTGAGTATGAGTGTGTAGTGGTTGTTTATCATCATATTTGTGTGTGTGTGAAAGATGCTGGTTGAATTGTGGAGTGGTTTCCAGCTATGCAGGTTGTGTGGGTTCACTTCCCAGGTGTTTCCATTAATTACTAATTGGTGAGTTATAATGGACGTTTGGGACTGATTACTATGCATCAACCAGCTTGTTGTTAGCGGGAGATTGCTTTGTGCATGTTCTGTGTATAATTAGCTGACTACGTGTTAGAGGGACGAATGTTATATTCCATAATGCTTCTGACAAGTGTTTCATACAAACTGACAGGATATTCGAAGTAGAGAGAAAGAGATACAGAATATCGACTAAGAAGTAGAGAGACAGATATGATTGTTGTCGCAGACAGTTGAACAGTTACATCCTTCAAACACTACAACGAATCATGGTAATGCCGATTTGATAGAGGTTAAAAATGGTCTTCTATAAGATTGTGAATTGCAGTTGACAACTGCTAGTTTCATGAGTCATTTATTGTATTCCATAGTCCTTGAAAATGTAGATTCCACTTTTATTCACACAATCTTCACTTTCTGAATGACTGAAGTAACATTATTTCGAATCAAATGGTGTATGATGAGGAATGGGACAATGGTTACATTTCATTTTTCAAATAATACACATGTATCTATATATTCGTAGGTTGATTCCCATCAGTAAAGAGGAATTTGTCACCATATGTCACTTTGCAGAATACACTGAAAACAAACAACCCAGGAAACAAGTGATTGGTGAATGTTAATCAGAATGAAGTTTTATTCCAGTGTGAATAGTAATAAATTGAATACAGGTTGGAATTAACGGATAATAACGGACACTGACAATTCATGTAGAATAGCGTATTTCATCATGTGATGATGATGGTGATGATTAACCTTAAAGAAGGAATGGCTGGGAATGAACTTCGTGTCATAAATTCGACATAGATGGATGGATGAATCAGCGAGTGTACGAATGTTCCACTGATTTGAACCATTTTCACACACACATAATTATGATGTTATGTGAATAAGTAAATAAGTCAAAGTTAACTGTGTCATTGATATTTGACTGAATAATTCATCACGTATTTATTTAATTTTTCTCATCCTTTTTCTTATTGTTGTTATCTAGAGTAGGAAAGGTGATGGTTCAAAAGTCTATCTGTGCAGACGGTGTGGTTCCAGTTATAAACACAAGAAATCACTGAATAAACACTGGAGGGATAAACACTATTCAGAGTTGATGAAGAAGGTAGGTGGTGAGGATAATCCTGCAGTCAGGGATGAAACAGACAACGGCGATGGCGATGGTGATGGTGATGAAGAAGATGGAGATGATGCAGAGTGTGATGGAGATGGTGATGATTGTGATGAAGGTGATATCGAGACGATGAAGACAAGTTCCAATGGACCTCTCTCATCTACTGAGAATATTGGTTGCAATAAAGTGAATGTCAGGTATACGAACAAGCCCACTTCGTTGGGGACGATTTATACGGTGGAGGATGATGATTGTGAAAATCGACCACCCAATGCAAACAACATGTCATCTGGTTATGGAGTGGTGAGATCACAGAATTCGGTTGGTGATTGTCGGGGTGTGAGTGTGAATGTGATGAGAGGAAGTGGAAGTGGAGGTGGTGGTGGTGTTGGAGTTGGTGGTGATATGATGGAGATGCGACGAGGTGGACGTGTTTCAGCCCCGATGGATTGTCGGAATCGTTTGTTCGTTTGTGGACGTAGGAGGTTATCAGTTGTTCCCTGTTCGTCGTCTCCGAGTGGTCAAGGTGGAATACACAAGCGAATTTCTGAATGTGGAGTTAAGCGTGTGAGATCACCGATAGATGGGAGTGAGAATGGGAATGTGAATAGTAAGCGAAGACACAGTGTGTTTCCATCTGTGAGAGATGGTTGTTTTAGTGACATGAATGAGAAGCATCCAGAGGTGTTTAGGAAGAACATTGGAGGTAGTGAGTTGGTGTCGAGTGGTCCGAGTCGGTTTGATGTGAAGTCTGTGGATGTGTGTGAAGGTGGAGTATCTGGTGAAGGAATGGAACCACTCGATTTGTCAGTTGTGAAGCCGTTGAATACAGGAGGAAATGAGTGTGTGTTAGACGGACGAGTGTCAGGTGGGAGTAGTGAGTGCAGTGAGGGGAGAGGTGATTTGAGTATGAGAGTGAATGGTGAAGGGAGTTGTTCGGTGAAGACGTGTGAGATGGAGACGGAGTCTGGTGGTAAATTCGTGTCTTCAGAGGAAGAGGGTAGTGGGAGTAGGAAGAAGGCGACGCGTATTAGTCGCAGCCTGCTGATCGGTTTGTTGGAGACAGCAGTGAATATTGTGGAGAATGAGGTTGATGAGAATGTGGGTGACTCGATGCAGTTGTCGGCGACATGTTCGAGTTTACTGTTGGCTATTGGTAGTTTGTTGGTTAGATTGGGTGAGAAGAGACTTGATGTGTCGGGTGATTGTCCTCGCGTTGAATCATTCCAGACGAGTAATGTTTGTGTAGATGGAGGAGGAGGGGGAGTGAGGAGTGTTGAATGTCATTCAGATTTGTCTGGTGTAGGTGTGTTGAACTCGATGAATATGAGAGATTTGGGACAAGTGTCTGTTGATCACTTTCCACCATCACGTGACAATGCATTACATGATGGTTGTGTAGGTGATTCAGGACTATGGTCAAAAGAGTGTGGTGTTTCGAGTGTGGAAATGTCGAGGATCACTGGCAAAGATAAAAAAGAAGAAGAAAAGAGTGTGGGTGTTGAAATGAGTAGGAAAATGGGGGATAGTGAGTTCACTTCTTCATGTGAATCCCGTCATGCAGGTGATGTGATGAGTGAGAAAGAAATATGGTTCAAGGGAATGAGTGAAGAAGTGTCATTCAGTGGTGAAGATGGAATGAAGAAGAGTGATGCGTCGGAGTCCACCTTCATCTGTCCCGTGTGTAAATTTCGTGCTCGTTGGTTCAGTGAGTTGCGTGCTCATATGGTGAACCATTCTGAGCATCGGATGTTTGGCTGTTGTTACTGTCAGTATCGAGCCAAGTGGAAATGGGATGTCGCGAAGCATATGCGTCGATGTCCATTGGGTCGTCATGTCTCTCACCTTCCCAATGAGGCGTTGTTGAGGATAGTTAAGTATCATGCACCTCGAGAAGGAGATATATTGTATGGTTATTTCCCACAGAGTGGATTTCCTGGAGTGGGAATAGACCATCCTCCGACTCCACCGAGTAGTGTGATGAATCATGGATATGAGAGGTTGGATAATGAAGGTGTGTGTGATTTGGATGATGATGTTGGTTTGAATGGTGTTACTGAATTTGATGGAGTCAGTGGATGTGAGGAGTTGGTGCAGGATGAGGTGAGTATTCGCGTATATTTGTGTGTATGTGTTTGTGTATATTGATTTTTATTCTCATGTGTATTCATTTGAGTTATTCATTACGAGGATTTATTTTGTGTTGTCAGTGTGCAGATGTTGAGTGTGGATACCTCAATAATTTTCGTCGATCACTGTATTGTATTCTATTGTATTTTTTGGTGTGTTATTTCTTCAGTTCAGGTGTCATTCATGAAATGTGTATTAAGTGTAAACTATGGTGTGGTGAAATGAATTTGAGTGGCGATGTAGGAGTAAATGAAGTAGGTGTAGTTCTCCATAGATTGTGGAAATGATATCCGTAGGTGACAAAATTCACCTTGAAAGGAATTCTGTAGCTGATGTGTTAGGGTGTTTGTACACCCATGTTGGCTTTTATGTTGTCTTTCAACTTGATAATCATAATTCAGTCCATTAATCAATGCTTCTGTGAATTGGTTGCACATATACACTAAGAACTGTTTCAGGTGGTCAATCGATATGGTGAATGCTTGAGTAAATCTGTTAATATAAGTGTAAAACTTGGGTACTGTGGTAGTAAGTAATTCCATATTAGTTTATTTATTAGATATATCACACAGTGAAACAGTATTATTTACTATGCTAGGTGGCCACATTGCAAACATGACTGACAGAATTCAGTCTGCACCGAAGATAGGACTAGACACATTACACTAGTTACTGACTAGTGTGCAATCAAAAATATCCAATACAGTCCTACAGGAGACCTCCTGTCAGTCGAGTCTGAATAGCTCAGTGATAACGTCTCTGACTGCAGCACTGGGTGACGCTGGTTCGAATCTCAGAAGGGACATAAGTTCCTTCAAGGTTGCAGATACGCCTTTCTAATGAGTGCCAACTAGCACGAAACCTAGGTCCAAGGCTTCCTGCCGATGGCCTCCAACCATCTAATACCAACAGTATTATTTACTGAATGATGACGTTTCGAACAAAACTTATTGTTCATAATCATATCAATTATAATCACACGACTTCGAAACTTGAGTTTTATAGTTTTCTTTGTCTTCTATTTGTCGTCGGGGTAGCAGAATCTGTTAGTTAGCCAAGGTTACTGAAGACGAGAATGAGGTTTTAAAGAAGAAAGTGAAATGTTGACGACGACGACGAGCCAATAGGTTGAATGGTGGAAGAAGGGAATTCAGTCAGAGAATATGCTTCCAGTGTAATGAGTGTGTGGAGTAGTGAGCTTTTAAGACCACAATAATATGAAAACTACATTTTATACACAATGAGTCTGTATTGAATGTCATCGATATATGTGTTCGAATATTTTGGTAGGAAAAGCGTTGACCATGAAGTGTACAATAATGACTGATGAATCGTTTCAATTGGATGACAGCATTATATTTGTTACAGGATTTTTATCATGAGCTGACATTAGTAAGAGAACCATTGGAAAACCTGGGAGTACTGGACAGCTGTTTCGTCCTAGTTTGGGACTCATCATCAGTACGCGCCCACCGGGATTCGAACCCAGGACCTTGTGGCCACTAGGACGAAAAAGCTGTCCAGTACTCCCAGGTTTTCCAATGGTTCTCTTACTAATGTCAGTTCATGATGAAAATCCCGTAACCAATCAAATCCCTACAAACCAACACTTGAGCATTATATTTGTGTTTGTTGTCATTGAATTTTCACCTGTGAGAATACGACACACAAATGAAGTTTTGATGGTAAATATGAGATTGAAGTGTGTCTGATTTTCTTCCTGAGACGTGAAGATAACTGTTTAGAATGTTTGATTAACTGGCTCCCAGTCAGCATCCTTCCATCTATCACCAACTGATATGCTCATGAATTGGTGTAAGTGTGTACGTGTGCGTGGCACCTGCATGTCATCCTATTTTTTATTTTATCTAGTGTTAATAATCATGTTATTATATTGATCGTTGAGTAATTTTATTGGGTATTTATAGAAGACTGGAGTTTGCATGCGTGTTCGTGTATTCTCAGTTCTAATATTCACCCGATGTATTTTGCTTTGTCTTCTGCTGTTTGTGACATTTAGGAGAGGAATAAATGTGATTCAGTTAGTCGGATGGAAGGCAAGTGTCCATTGTGTGAATTTCATTCGACGGATAAGACTGAGTTTCAATTGCATTGGAATTCGCATTGTCCATACATGGAATGATACACTGATGATTGAATTCAACGAGATGTTGATCTGCTTTCTATGGTATGGTATGGTGTGGAGTGGTGGAGATGTGAGTAAGGGAAACAGTAATATCTAACTGATATCCTTAATGATGATGATAATAATCAAGAGAGTTTTGCTTCTTCGTTTTCCTTATGTATATCCAATTCTGCTGGCGGTGGTGGTGGTACCGCTTCGTTTTTATTTCTTCGAACTTTTCTCTTGTTCATTGCAACATATTTTCCAGATGTACATATACCCAGACACCGATACACTCACTCACATGCACTATTAATCTTTTGACATATATTGGAAATCAGACACATCTTTTTTTGATATTTTGAATAAATGATCTTGTTGATGAGAGAGTGTGGTATTGGATGACCGAGAGAGAGAGAGACTCTATTTATTGTTTGTGTATATTTTCTAATTTTTCATTGATGATTAAACTAATAGAAGTTTCTTCAGTTTGGTTGTGCTTTAATTGTTGATCGTGGTGATGTGACTGTTTTCTTTGATCTGACAAATTGTTTTGACTATTATTGATTGATAAATCTGTGATGGCAGGAAGAGCAATACATATTTTTTGTACAAGACTTTTTGAATGACCTTTCTTCACTTTCTGTGACGGTTAGTTTAAGTTGTTACATGAGAGTTGCTCACGTTTAGTTATTCACTTTAACTGAACAATTTCCATTATATCAAGTTGACGTATGGTGTAGAGGATTGTAGTTTGCTGATAATATTGAGTTGTCCATCGAGATGCAGAATTGTTTGATATTATGCCCAATATTATATTATTCGATGTATGGTAGGTTATTTAAAACTGTGGAACTGAAGATGACATTTTCATCATGTGTGAGATTTCTCAAATGGACGTACGTAGTTGCATTCCAGTGACTGATAGTTTGTCACCTGACAGAGACGTGGACTAATCAGATATAACTTGAAATCGTAAAAGCTACTACCTCAGGTAGTAAGCTACACACGTGTTGTGGTGGTTCGCAGTCTGAGTGTATGGAGGAGTTACATGAATCCATTTGATGGACGAGTGTAAAATATGTGTGGAGAAGCTTTGTATAGTTCAGTGGTAGGCACCGTGTGCTTGGTAAGGTAAAGTTGCAATGGAACGTATCATCTAGACGTGCAAAGGGAGATGAATAGCTTTATCATTTATATGCTTCAGTTGTGAATGAAAAATACTACCCAACAGGTTCCCGACTTATTGATCTGTTCTGAATAGACATTAGCTTAACTTTCCAAATTTATTGTTGTAACTAGCAGTATAATGGAAAAACTACAAGTTGGGTTTCTGTACTAGTCCTTTAACGTTTAATTGTATCCATGGTATTCCCTAAAATCTTCGCTGTGTGCCACAACATAACGTTGAGTCAAGTTGTTCACCTTATTTTGTGGTTTATCTCCTATAATCCTTTGCTTTCGATAGAGGAAAAACAGATGCTAGGGGACAAGACTTATGTCCAAAGTTAACATGATGGGGTTTCATTATCATTAGTTATGCTTTAGGTACCAGGCTATTTGTTGAGCATTATTATAATGACAGGTGGTGCAGTCTAACTGTCATGTGTAGTTCGTAACAAGATTCATCTTTTATTCGAATTTATTTCGAAAGGATTATTGTAAACAAACTAGAGAGAAGTCATTGTGTCGACTGTTGAAGTAAATAAGGTTCACACTGAAGGTGACTTAGGTAATTTAGTAAGTTGCATGTTTATTTGTTTAATTTCTTTCGTTTGGAGTAGAAGACAGGGCAAAGTTCAAACTTTGACCTTTCAGTACTGGTATTGTTGTTTATACGGATGACGTTGATGGTCCATCGGATTCTGTACCACTGGTTCAATGATATACGAGCTCAACATGTAACCTGAAGCTCTAGAATTCAATCCCTGATGGTATGTTGATGGGAACGTACTGCTGGAGATTCATAAACAAGGACGAAACAACTGTCTAATAGGATTCTCTGGTTTTCAGTGGTTCTCTATCTGAATTCAGTTGGTGATCTAAATTGAAATTAGGCAAATCCCTACAAACCAACAGTTGAAGATCAATTCCAGGATGCTTAGAAAATTAAAACATGATGGAAGAGCAAAAGCTAGACAAAAAATCCGTATGTAATAAGACTGACAATAGAAATATGTCCCACCTCTTCCTCTCCCTCTGATTACAGTTCATATTTGTCATCAAATTAATTAAAGTAAAAGTTGAGTCTGATTGATTTATCACATGTCTGTGTGTGTTAGTAGGTGGAAACTATACATCTTTCGTTTTTGGTGCTGTCACTCTCTCCCTCTCTTTCACGCATACAGGCGCACACACACTGATTACAGTAATTTCCTTCTTGAATTAAAATCAAAATTTCGTAAAACTATAGTCGACATTTTTGTGGTGTAGTCAAATTCAATCTTAGGGATGATTTAACAATTTTCTCTTAATCAATGTCAGTAACAAGTGAGTAGTCCTCGAATAATAGATAATTCATTTGTGTTTACCTTTGTCTTTTGCAGGAAATAAGCGAATAATGCATTTATTTATTATAACATTTGCGTAACTAATATGCATACGTCATAATTGGGAAACAGTGATAACTTTTACCCTCATATTCTAGATACTGGCCATGTGAACGCAGTGGACCACCCGTTGAACAACGTGAGTAGACTGCACATGAATGATTAGACACCGAACTGGCACTTAAAATATTCGCGCCTAAATGCCTAATTCTTGTTATAATATACACTCATGCCTCACTTCTGGGTTTTATGTTCTTCCTTATGTGCATCAGTGTTTAGTGTCGGTTGGTGGGTCAAACATCTTATTTCCTGTTTCACAGATGTAGCTGCTCCAATCGTCTTTACACTATGAAATACATGGAAACAAATACTAGAAAAGAGATCTTTCAGATATTCTCATATCCAGATTACTTTCTTAGTTGAATTTCATTCAGATGTTGCCTTGGTGAGGATTTCATTGATTATTCCCAATATAGATCTCATCATGAATTGATGTCAGTTAGAGAGTCATCGAAAATAGTGGAAGTTCTGTAGAGTTGTTTCATTCTACCTTTGGAACTCTTTATTAGCAGTGCCCACCAATGAACCTATCACTTAGGTTCGATTCCAGATGACTCTCAGGTAACATGATTAGCGAAAATACCAACTTGTTTCATTTCACAACTTAGAGCCAACGCCAGCTAATATCACATCAATGAGTACATATCTTGATGACCGATTCGGTGGATATTACTACGCACAACACCTCAACAGAACTTTAGCACATACATCCTTGAGTAGATGTTCAGTGTGCTTCCTGGCTTTCAACTATTCTCTCTAACGGATATCGCCTCGTGGGGATATTTCTCCTTGACATTTATTCTCAAAAGTTGTAGAATTTCATGAATATTTTAGTTATACCTATGTCAAACTGGTTAATTGATTAGTCATTCTTGTAAATTTATTCTCTCTCTATCTCTGTTTGTGTTTCTGGGGTAAAGCAAAGGAGTAAGTGGGCGAGAGAAAGAAGGAAGACAATAACAGACATAGACATAGAAGTAGAGTTCATCAGTAATTCGTCTCTCCACTTTTATTGACTATGAATTAGCTAAGCTAAATGAATATGTCTATCTTTTTAGAAATATCCATCATTTATTTGCAATAAATTAATGTTTTGTAATCATTGCTTAAATCAGGGTACCATCATTCTGTTGCCTACCTTTTCATCTCAAAAGAAGCTATTCTGATGAATTCCTATCCTCTCCCTCTCTCTGTCTCCCCGCTTCCCTGTGTTCTTCTCTGTGAAGTAATAAGCCGCAGAAGAATACAACAAAAGAAGCAATAATAACATCAAACTAAAAATCACTTTAAAAGTGCTGTGATGCAGCTATACTGACAATGTATGTTTCCAAATACAAAACAAGTACTGTAAGACAAAATTAGTTAACCAAAGTTCACCTGCAAAAGGTGCCTTAGAATCAAGGAGAATATTTCCAGCGAGGTGGGATCAAAAACTCTGTCCACAAGAATCACGCACCAGGACTTCCCGGGTTAGGCTGACCTTCAAACCAAACTCATATCGTTGAAAAACATATCTTAGATGTACACGCAACCACAAAGAAATTTTACAAATAAAGATTAAACAAGGACAAAGGCATATAATAAAGGTCAAAAACTAACATGTGGTATGCAAATATCAAATTAATGATACGCAGTCCAGGGGAAACAGTACAAAGTTAGTTGAAATGTCTAAATAAGTATGAACATTATAAACAGATCTCCCAGAAGGGATTTTCCAAACAGTTTGTCTATTACATAGGATGCTACATGACTAAAACTGATTAGGTATATGAATTATTTTGGTTCATAGTCAATCTAATACTAGTGAAATCGTTATTTTTTGGAGGAAGAAAAGCCTCAATAAACTAACCAAATCTGAATATGGATTTCGTCCATAGTTTAGTGCTCTTCAGATACAAATGTGTAATATCAAAAATCCCTCTAGAAATTTTATTTGTCTAAACAAATTCAGGAGTTTACATTAGACAGTCACATTGGTGATTATCAAATTCCCAAAACAAACAACCGTTTTTTTGTATTTTCAGAGAGCATCAGTAAACAAGTCCAATTCGAAGTTGTTAGTTTTATGGGAATACAATTGATTTGAGTGAGAAAGTCGATCTGACGATAAATGAGTATAACAGCTAAAGAATTATTGACCATGAACAAAGCAAGAAAAACACACTGCGGAGGGTAAAATGACGTCATCATACTCTGTTGGTTCTTGTTAGGAAGCATACAACCACAAACGATTTTATACCAGTATACAAAACACCTAAGTGCTTTAGTCATTGATCACGAAGCTGATGGTTATTCAGTATCACGTGATTAAATAGCATAATGGAAAGGAATAGGGTTATCATTGTTTAAAACAAGGAAGAAAACTGTGGAAAAGCAGATTTTAATGAATTCATAAATTTCGGTAGGACTCGTCAGCTGGATACTCTACAAACATTGACATTTATACAGTTTT